GGGTCTCCTGAAGCCTGAGTTCTCCACACCGCGGGCTTGGCTCCACTGTGGTTCCTTCAGACCCTGGTGCTGGGCAGGGGTCTGAAGCCCTGGCAGAGAGGCGGGCCAGGCCCAGGCCTCCCCCTATCACACATTAACCAGGGTTGTGCAACAGCAGCTGTGGGCCTCACGCCAGGCCTGGGATGTGGGAGTGGCCAGCAGCCGGCAGCAGCCAGCGGGAGCCTGGGCTGGAAGCACGGGCAGCTCCCCAGGCCCCAGCGAGCCAGGCCAGAGCCCGCCCCTGCCCTGGCAGCCAGACCGAGGTGTCCGGCCTGGCAGGGGTTGGGAGGTGGCGGTCAGGAGCCCCAGGGATTCCTGGACAGTCGCCCCACACCGACCGCGCAGCCTCTTCTGCACAGAGACGCACAACCACCCCCTCCCGGTTCTGAGCTCTACCCCGAGGAACTGGAACTGCGGCGGAGGGAGGCGGAGAGACTCGAGTCACCGATCACTTCTGCTCAACTCCTCCAGGGCTGAAGAGCTTGGGGGTGGCCGGGGATTACAAACCTGGAGCCCTGACCTGGCCTCCGTCGGGGCCTCCCGAGGGAAGGGGCGGGAAAGCGCGTCTCCGCACCCCACCCACCGCCCCTGCGCACCCCGAGTCCCGGGACACCGCGCCTCCCGCTCACCTCTGCGCTGGGACGGGGATGTGCGCCGATGGAGTCCGGGGCCCCGCCGCCGCCCCCGCCCACTTCCCGGGGGCCCCCAGGTCCGAGGCCCGCGGCTCCGACTCCGGCGGCCGCGCGAACTCCAAGCCCGCGAAGCCGCCGCCCACGGAAGAGCCCTGCAGATGGGGAGGGGGCAGACTCAGAGGAGGCGGCGGCCGGGGGGGTCCCTCCACCTCCGCCGCGGATCCGCTCGGAGCCCGCCTCGAAAACCGGCTGCGGCCGGTGTGGACGGCGCGGCCCCGCCCCCGACCCCGCCCCCAGCCCGGCGCGGCGGGAAGGACTCCCCGGCCGCCCGGCGCAGCCCCGGCGGGACCCACGGACACGCGCGGACCGACGCTGCCGCCCTCCCCGCTGCCCCGCCCCCGGGGGCCCGAAGTTTGGGCAGCACTGACGCCATCTTTGCAGCGAGAGAAACTTGGTCGGCGCCCCCGCCCACCGGCGCCCGGTACCTGCGGCGGCGTGGGCACCGTCACGGGCGCGGCGCGCGGCCCCGGACCCTCCGCGTGCAGCCAGGGCGCCTCGGCCCGCAGCGCACTGGGGTCCCGGCCGGCGGCGCGGGGCGGGGGGCTCTCCATGGCCGGCCGGCCGGGCGCCGAGGCTGCAGCGGCGAGGCTGGCCCTCAGGACGCGGCCCCGGGGCCGGGCTGCCGGCCGCGACCCCCGCCCTGGATCCGGCCGCGCCCGCGCCGCGGCGCCCGGAGGCTGCCCGCCCCGCCGCCCGCCGCGCCGCCGCCGGTGGCGGCATTTGGCCCGCCGGCGTCCACACCGCAGGCGGCGGCCCGGCGGCCGCGCTCCGTGGCCGGCGCTCCGAGGCCCCGCCCCAGGCCCGCCCCCTCCGGGTCGCTCCCGCGCTGGCCTGGGGAGGGAGGCCCGGCCCCGCTCCGAGGCCTCCGCCCACCCCGCGCGCCCGCGCGCCCCTCCGGGGAGGGCCGGTGCCCCATGGGCGCGCTCGCAGAGCTGCCAGAGCCGGGGAAGGGGCCGCGAGTCCTTGGCGGGCGTCCCGGCAGCAGGTTACTCTTTAACGCTCGACTGCCCACCTCCCCCACCCCTTATGTAACACCAGGCTGGCGGCGGAGCCCTCCGTGGAGTCCAGGGTCCAAGTCCCACCGCGGGGCGGCCACCCTGCCGGCTGCGCTGCCCCCCGGGGGCGACTCGGACCCCGTCCCCGCACTGACCGGGAGTCTGGCCGGCAGGAGCACCGCCTCGGCTAGGCCCGGGCGCCCCGGGGGCAGTCAGCCCCCCAAGGCCAGAGGGGACAGCTCCAAGCCTTCCAGACAAGCCCCCGCCCCAACCCGCCCAGCTTTCAAGAAGAGCAGGCTGCGAGGCTGGCTGCGTTCCTCCTGCGAGGGCGCTTTATTTAGACGCGGGCGTTCTCTGGAGCTCGAGGAGGCCGCGGCTGTCAGAGCGGCCAGGACCTCACGGACCTCACGGGCCTCACGGGCTGGCAGCCCGGGGACCTGGGACTGGCGCTGTCAGCTGTGAGGCGGGGCGGGGCGGGGGACGGGCCTCTCTGGAGGCCGGAGCACAAGTCCTTGAGTGTTCGGGGCAGGGAGGGGTCTCCAGCCCCTCCCTAGGCTGGGGCAGCTGGAAGCAGGGGGCGTCCGGGTCCCGCACGTGCTGCTCCTGCCAGCAGGGTCCCCCAGCTCCCGGATGCTCTCATACACGTTCTCCAGGGGGCTGCTGTCCGCATCCAGGGCCCTGAGCGGGAGGGTCGCGTAGGCCAGGTCACTCGCCAGGGCCAGAATCGCTCCCCGGCCCTTGGGGTTCAGCGGGTCTGTGGTGGGTCCTGGGTCCCTCCTTTTAGGCTTGCAGACCCTGGAGTACAGGACGTCCACCTGGAGACAGGAAGCCAACCCGAGGAGGGGTCAGCACCATCCAACCTGCTGAGGACCTGCCGGCCCTACCCACAGTGCCCCACCCTGGCCCACATTACCTGAGCGGCCGGGGTCACCTCAGCCTTCCCCAGCTGCGGCTCTTGGGGACTGCGTTGGGTCCCTTTGCGCTTCTGGACGCGGGCATACTCAGCCACCACAGGGCTGGCCGCCAAGCTGACCCCGGGGAGGGCCGCCAGCCCCACGTTGGAATAGGTGGCCTCGGGGCCAGCGCACCTTGCGGTGGCTGCAGCTGCCGGCAGAGCCCAGGGCAGCTCCTGGCGCGGGAAGGCAGAGAGGGCTGCCTGCGGTCCGGTGATGTCCCTGGACACCTCCAGCCAGTGTGGGCGCAGGAGATCCATGCTGGCAGGCCGCAGGGCTGGGGGTGGGGTCAGGGCAGAGTTCACTCGGGGCAGGGGGCAGGAGCGGGTCTGACCCAGGGGTTGGCACGCTGCACAGTAAGCCCCGCCCGGCCACCCCCGTCCCGCCCTCCGCTCACCCCTGCTGCTGCGCGGGCCCCGGTGCAGCTCGTGCAGTCTGGTGTCCGACTTGCTGAGGGAGCAGAGGTGGGTCCGCCTCAGCAGGGACTGGGGGCGAGGAAGGCTGGTCGGTCCCCTGCGGGCCCCGCCCTGGTCCCCGGGACAGCCTGGCACTCACCGCTTCCGCTCCCATCGCACTGCCCTGCAGCCTCGCCCGCTGCCTCCGCACCCTCTTCCTGGGGGCTAGAGCGTCCTCAGGCCTTGGGGGTAGAGGTGGGGGGCGGGGTCGTCAGCCTCAGGTCCAAGGCCCAGTGCAGGGGCGCGTACAAACCTGGGGGCGCGGACCTGCCTCCAGCCCCTTCCCGCGCTGGGCTGAATGGCAGCCGCAGGAAGGCACCAGACAGAACCGGGCTGATGGACGTACCTGCGGCAGGCTGTGCACAGCGACCACAGCCAGAGGAGCAGGGCGCAGCACCCTAGAACCCAGAGGGCAGGAGGAGCCCAGGACACTGGCAGCCCCATCCTGTGAAGCCAAGACCCTGGGGGCAGAAGAAAGGGGCACTGGGTGCTGGCCAAGGGGACCTACGCCACTTGGCAGCGCCAAATCTGCACCTCCCGCGGCTGCGGAGCTCCTGCGTCTCCCGCTCCTGCTCTGACTCAGCACAGGAAGCCCCAAGGCCTGGCAGTCCCTTCCTCCCAGAGGTGCCCACCTTCCCTTCTGGCGGGGGCTCCCGGTGAGGTGAGGTGAGCAAGGGCTGCTCTGCCTGGCCCCTTGGTGTCCCTGCAGGTGACCATGGTAACGCCCAGCACGGCCGCAAGGAGGGGCAGGGCAGCTGTGGCCACTGTAGCCCAAATTGTAACCACCATCGGGGGGAGGCCCTGGGTGTGCGCCACAGGCCACAGACGCCACCTGCAGCCACTCTCTGCCCAGACATGGTCTCCTGTGTCAGGGAGCACCCCCAAGCCACTCGCCACAGAGCCCAGAACTGGGAGAAGCTGGAGGCTGGGTCAGCAGGCAGCAGCAGCTGCTGGGGGTGCTGATACCCCCACCCCACTTCTGGCTCTTCTTGTCTGCCACTGTCTCTGCCAGAGGATCTGTCCCCTTCTTGGGGATTAGCAGAATTCTGGGGGTGGGGGACGCCTTATAGTCAGCACATCCCGCAGCACAGAGGCAGCGGCTGGCGGGTGAGGGGTGGTCTCTGGAGTTCGGGGCCAGTCTGCCCAGACCCAGGGGGTGGGTTTCAGCCCGGCCGACTAACCCAGCTACAGCCACGTCCCAAGGCCTCCCAGACCCCAGCTGCCCCCCAGGAGGGCACTTGGGGACCAAGAGACTTGGGGATCTGCCCAGGCACTTACCAAGCCCACGGCCAGGGGTCCTCAGCTCTGTCTGGGGCAGGCGAGGAAGGTCTTTGTGCAGCCCTCGGCTGAGCTCCCCACCTCATCACTTCCTGCTCCTGTTGCCGAGCGCCTCCCCTGAGCCTCCCACCCTGGGCAGCAGCCACCACCGCAGCCTCACCCACCTGCTGCGCCCCGCCCGAAGCCTAGATGAAACGTGTGTGCCTCGAGCCCGCACTGTTCTGACAGCCTAACTCACATCCCCTCCACACATGAAGACGTGAGCAGAGCTGGCACAGAACCCCCAAACTCACAGGGCCAGGTCTGCCTGCCTCACCAGGAGTACCCCACGTGGTGGGCCACAGTCCTCCCACCCGTCTCGCCCGCTGGCCCGTCTTGCCTGCTGGAGCAGCACTGAGCTCCACCCATCTGTGGGTGTCAGGCAGCCTGGCGGGCACCCTGGCCTCCAATCTGCCTTGGACAGAGAAGGGAGAGAAGGGAGAATGCTGGCCTCCTAGGCCCCTCCAGCCCAGCCCGCCTCTCACCACAGCCCTGCACAGACCCTTCTCTCCCCAGAGACCCTGCAGCCAGCTGATCTCCACTGAATGACACCGTGATGAAATCACTTTAATGTCCTTGCCAAGGAAATGCCCAAGACACTGGCAGGTGGGCAAGAAAGTGTCCAGACAGGACCCTGCAGCCCCGTCTCCACTCAGCAGGGTCCGCACGCCCCAGGCCAGCAGGCCGGCCCCTCCTTGGGCAACACTGGTCTTTCTGAGGGCAGCCTGTGCTGGGGTCCCACACTTCATCCATAGTGCTTGCAGGGTTCTCTAGAACTCAGTCATCTTCTTGTGGGTGTCTGCCTTCCTCTGCTCCTGCTGCAGGCCTGCTTCCTGAGCCCGGAGCTGCCCCAGCTGGCGCTGGGCTCCTGCCAGCTTCTCCTGCAGCTGGGCTGACGCCACGCTATGCCTGCGGAGAGGCTCACCAGTCAGTGTGGGGTCCCCGGCCACGCCGCCAGCCCCAGGCTGCCATGTCCACTGCCCGTGTGCCCACTGCCTGTCCTCCAACATGCAGACCCCTCCTGGACTCAGCCTGACATGCTTGGGTCAGGTGACCTCCCGCAGGTGTCCTGGGGGCAGGGCCACCCTGGGTTTCCCTCTGCCCTGAGCCGGGCCCCACACCTACCGGCCAGCGTTGCGGGAGAGAGCCTCCTGGATGCTCCTGATGTCCCGCTGGGTTCGCTCGATCTTCTCCTCGGTCTGGAAGAGCCGCAGGCTCAGCGCCCGCTTGGCGCTCTTACTGGCATGGTACATGTCCTTGCTCCTCCTCCCCGCCGGGGCTGCCCTGGCCTCTAGGGCCCCAGGAGCCTGGCCTTGCAGCTTTTCATTGAGGAAGTCAAACACATTCCGAGGGGGTGGGCGGCCCCCAGGCCGGGCCCCTCTTCCCCGGCACCTGGGGGGCTTGTTGGTGCCAGCCTTGCCAACCCTGGTCCGCTTCTGCAGTGTCTCCACACACTGGTCCAGCGACTTCCCTCGTGGCAACACTACAGCATGGATGGGCTCCACCCGGCCATCTGCATGTCGGCCCAAACCTGAGACAGGAATGGCAGTGCTGTGGCTGCCGGACGCTGGGAACGTGACGGCTGCGGGACCCCCGGGAACGTGACGGCTGCGGGACCCCCGGGAACGTGACGGCTGCGGGACCCCCGGGAACCTGATGGCTGCGGGACCCCCGGAACCTGATGGCTGCCGGACGCTGGGAACCTGATGGCTGCGGGACCCCCGGGAACCTGATGGCTGCCGGACGCTGGGAACCTGATGGCTGCGGGACCCCCGGGAACCTGATGGCTGCCGGACGCTGGGAACCTGATGGCTGCGGGACCCCCGGGGAACCTGATGGCTGCCGGACGCTGGGAACCTGATGGCTGCGGGACCCCCGGGGAACCTGATGGCTGCGGGACCTGGGCTATGCTGCAGCCTCTGCCCACTTCTCCAGGGCTGCTTGTACTCACCCTTGCCAAACTCGTAGCCCATCTTGGTGAGGAGTCTGGAGCCTATGCCTCGCGTGTGTACCTCCCAGCCGGCAAAGGCAGAGCTGCAGGTCCCGGAGTCCACAGTGTCCGACCCCACCACTGCAAGAGAAGGACAGAGGGCAGTGGCCGGCCAGGGCAGAGGACTATGCATGGTGACCTGGGCTCTGACCAATGAGCTCAGATCCTGGGCAGAGCCCCAACACCCCACCTCTGGGGCTCCGTGCTCTGTCACTGAGGCTGCTGTGGGCATGTGACACCAGGCAGAGTGCATGGCAGTCCCCACGGCCTCCTGCACCGTGGCCCCTCCTCCACAGCCCTCTCCTGCCCTTGCCCTTCTCCACCTTCGCAAGGCCGTGAGCTCCTCACCTGCCCTCACAGAGTCCTTGGTTTGGTCCTCCTTCACCAGGGACTTGGGGCTTCAGAAACCACCATCACTGATCCCTGGGTACACCTCCAACATGCAGACCCCTCCTGGACTCAGCCCACCATGCTTGGGTCAGGTGACCTCCCGCATATACACACACACGCATACACACACCCCTCTGGAGAGCTGGCCACTGGCCACTAGTTCCCATTTCCGAAGCTTCCACCCTGGCTGTCTGGACACAACCTCTGTCTGCCAGGATCCACCAGGCACCCAGGTCCCAAGTTTGAGAAGCCATGCAGAGGAGCTGCCCCTCTTGCACTCCAGGCTTCATCAGTTGTTCATTTTCTGTGACTTCCTTGGCAACTCCGGGCGCCTCCTCTCCCATGGCCACAGCCATGACCATGGCCTCCCATCAGTGAGACTGTAGCTGTTGTACCAACGCTCCTTGAAGACAAAGGCCACCACGGATCTACCCCGGCCCTTCACTCGCACTCCTGTACCCCTGCCCCACACGGCCTCCCCAGGCACGGCTGGCGCCCTCGCTGTGGCCATTCTCTCCAATAGTTTGGTTAGAGGTCGGTGCCCTCAAAAGCCAGGAGCCTCTCAGGGTGACCCCACCTTCCTGGCTCCTGGGTTCCACAGCTGCTGCCATACCTCTGGCATAGCTGGAGTCACCTGTGCCATCGCTGTCTGAGTCGGACTCTGTGGCCTCCGTGCGCAGTGGGGGCAGGATGCCGTCCCCCTCCACCACGGCCTCCCTCAGCAGCAGCGAGTCAAACTTGACCGTGTAGTAGCCATTGTCCACATCTAGAGGCAGAGACAAGCTGCAGGTCAGCATCCTTGACAGCAGGTGCCACTGATGGGGAACCACCCTGGACATCAGGAGCAAGGCAGGGCAGAGGCTGAGGGTAGATGTGCTCATTTCGGGCCCAGAGCCAGAGTCCCAACACTCATCCCAAAGGAGGCAGGGAGCAGCCACGCAGTAATAACACGTGTGGAGCCTGGGAGGGTGTTCCCGGGAGGCCTCCACGGCCAGCCTCACCGGTGATGCGCGCCGCGTGCCAGAGGCCATCCTGGTGCTTGGCCAGACACGCAGAGCCGGCCTGCAGGGAGCTCAGGTCTGGGTCCTGGAAGGGGCGCAGCTCATCCACAGAGACCACCTGCCCATGGGAGAACCTGCAGACAGAGCCATAGGGGGCAGGGCTCAGACATGGGCCACCAGGGGCAAATAAACCCAGGAGCACTGACCCATCCACCTGGGCACTGTCCTGAGGGAGCCAGACACATGCATGTATACACACACACACGCACACATACACACATACATGCACATACACACATGTACACATACTCATACACACATGCACACGCGCTAACACATGCATACACGTACATACACACAGGCGCGCACATGCATATACACACGTACACACATGCATATACACATACACTCACACATGCATACACACATGCATGCACACACATATACATATACGCATGCACACACACACACATGTACACACATACACACATGCATATAACACATACACATGTAGTCATACACATACAGAGACCCTCACGCATTTATAAACATGTACTCACACACTCATGCAAATACATATGCAGTCATACATGGATATACACAAGCACCCTCTCACCCACGCACATGTGCGCACACACACGCCCTCTCACACACATGTGCACATGCACTCACCCACACGAGCACACATGCACACACGCACACAAACGTGCCCTCACCCACACATGCAGTCACCCACACACATGCGCACACACGCAGACTGTCACATGCACTAACATATACACCCACACACACACACATGCACACACGACATGCACATATGCACATACATGCACACATGCACACACATGACATGCACATATGCACACACATGACATGCACATATGCACATACATGCATACACGCTCACACTTGCACACACACATACAGTAGTCTCTTGGTATCCGTAGGAAACCCCCTGTGGACACTAAAACACGAGGATGCTCAAGTCCCTTAGATACAATGACACAGTATTTGCATACAACCTATGCACATCCTCCCATATACTTCAAATCATCCCTAGAGTACTTGCAGTACCTGATACAATGTAAACGCCATGTAAATAGTTGTTATACAGTGTACAGACGCAGCCATCCTTTTCTTCCCCAATTATTTTTGACTCGAGATTGGTTGAATTGATGGTTATGGAACCCGCGGATACCAAGGGCCAACTGTACACTTTACACACGTATGCACATGCACACAGTCTCTCTCACACATAAAGGGCCTACTGTACACTTTACACATGTATGCACATGCACACACACACACACAGTCTCACACACAAGGGCCTACTGTACACTTTACACACGTATGCACATGCACACGCAGTCTCACACACACACGGGCCAACTGTACACTTTACACACGTATGCACATGCACACGCAGGCCAACTGTACACTTTACACACGTATGCACATGCACACGCAGTCTCACACACACGGGCCAACTGTACACTTTACACACGTATGCACATGCACACACACACAGTCTCTCACACACACGGGCCTACTGTACACTTTACACACGTATGCACATGTACACACAGTCACACACAAGGGCCTACTGTACACTTTACACATGTATGCACATGCACACATACACAGTCTCACACACACACCCCAAGGGCCAACTGTACACTGTACACACATATGCACATGCACACACACACACAGTCTCACACACACACACCAAGGGCCTACTGTACACTTTTCACACGTATGCACATGCACACGCAGTCTCACATCACACACACAGACACCCGCATTTTCTCAGGATGGACTTGGCTGCTCCAGAAGAATATACCCCGTGTGTCCCATCGCCTCTGCTGGAGTCCCAGTGTGGCAGCCCCTTTTGACAGCAGCTCCCACAGTCTCACTACTGCACAGGAAGCCACAGCGCCAGTTCATCAAGGCAGAGGTGTTGGGGGTGTGCATGTGCTCCTATGACTGAGTCCTCCCCCACACTAGGAGAACCTGCTTATGAAATAGCGGTGCCTTGACTTTCAGATATCAGTGAACCAGTAAAATTAAAACCAAAACCAAGACACAGAGAGAGAGAATGAAAAGGAAACGTGGGGACAGACAGGAGCGCAATCTTCAACTTTGCCAAATAAAGACATGAAAAACTAACCGCCATCCACTGCTGCCGTGCCGTCGTTTCAAAAGGAAGTTTCTTTTAACCCCACAAAAGCAACTGAGCGGCCGGGCGCGGTGGCTCACGCCTGTAATTCCAGCACTTTGGGAGGCCAAGGCGGGTGGCTCACGAGGTCAGGAGTTCAAGACCAGCCTGACCAACGTGGAGAAACCCATCTCTACTAAAAATACAAAAATTAGCCGGGCGTAGTGGCGCGTGCCTGTAATCCCACCTACTCGGGAGGCTGAGGCACAAGAATCACTTGAACCCAGGAGGCGGAGGTTGCAGTGAGCCGAGATTGTGCCATTGCACTCCAGCCTGGACGACAGAGACTGTCTCCAAAAAAACCAAAACAAGAGCAACTGAGGACAGGCCTTCAGCCCACGACATGCAGCCAGGGCTATTTCCAGTGGGAACGGGTGGGTGGAGCAGAGGGAGGTGGGACAGGGAGTTTGTCTCATGGGTAGACAAAGGTGGCCTCGCACACCTCCCCAGGCCAGGATTTTGGGCAGTTCCTCCTTGTGCCTACTGCTCTTAGGCACACAGCACCCTGCCAATGACCAGGGAGAACCAGGGGCTACAGGACTGGGCCTCAAACGCACTACAGCAGAGACTGGCTGCACGGAAACAGAACACATTCAAAAAGAAAGGGCTAAACCCAGAGTGAATTCGATTAAATACGCCCCTTCAACACACCCATACCATCAATTAATCAAACCTCTTCTAGAATATTTGACAATATTAAAAGCCTTGAAATTGGTAAACTCGGCCGGGCGCGGTGGCTCAAGCCTGTAATCCCAGCACTTTGGGAGGCCGAGGCGGGTGGATCACGAGGTCAGGAGATCGAGACTGTCCTGGCTAACATGGTGAAACCCCGTCTCTACTAAAAAATACAAAAAAACTAGCCGGGCGTGGTGGCGGGCGCCTGTGGGAGGCTGAGGCGGGAGAATGGCGTGAACCCGGGAGGCGGAGCTTGCAGTGAGCCTAGATTACACCATTCTTCTCCAGCCTGGGCGACAGAGCAAGACTGTCTCCAAAAAAAAAAAAAAAAAAAAAAAAAAAGAAATTGGTAAACTCTTTAACCCAGAAAGTGCTTCTATGATTTTTTTGTGTGCAGTAGAGCCTTGCTGTCTTGCCCAGGCTGAAGCGCATGGTGCGCTCACTGCAACCTCCACCTCCTGGGCTCAAGCAATCCTCGTGCCTCAGCCTCCCACGCGGTTGGGACCAGAGGAGTGTGCCACCATGCCAGCTAATTTTTGAATTTTTTTGTTGAGACAAGGTCTTGCCATGTTGGCCAGGCTGGTCTTGAACTCCTGGGCTCATGTAATCCTTCCGCCTCAGCGACATGATTGTTAAGGAGAATGCATGTAAAGACTTAACCAAATTTGGAAATAACCTAAATTTCTAACCATGGAGAGTAGCTGAGTTAATGGCATATCCATGAAGTTAACTGAAAACCAAAAGAACAGGCGAATTGATCAATGGAGCAAAGGAGAGCCCCCAGGGAGAGCCCCCACTCTTACAGAAAGCCTCGTGTGCAGAGGAAGCATCACAGATGGGGTGTGGGGAGAAAGACCACGGATTTCACAAAAGAATCGCAGGTGGGGTGCGGGGAGAATCGCAGGTGGGGTGTTGGGGGAAAGACCCCGGATTTCATAAGAGAAAATTAAAAACTGGGTTTTCATACATTAAAGATCATTAAAGGTCCCAACCCAATTACCTGCCTCACAGCATTGACAGAAATACACTCCAGAGTACGTAGAGACTTAACCCTGAAAACAACCAACATCTAAAACTAAAAGAAGCTTCTGAGTTTCAGCCACACCCAAGTAGAGAGGTCGATGAACCGAATCTAGGCCGGGCGCGGTGGCTCACACCTGTAATCCCAGAACTTTGGGAGGCTGAGGTGGGCGGATCACTTGAGGTCAGGAGTTTGAGACCAGCCTGGCCAACATGGTGAAACCCTGCTTCTACCAAAAATTTAAAAATGAGCCAGGTGTAATGGCGCACACCTATAATTATAGCTGCTCGGGAGGCCGAGGCAGGAGAATCACTTGAACCCAAAAGGCGGACTTGCAGTGAGCTGAGATCACACCACTGCACTTCAGCCTGGGTGATAAAGTGAAACTCAGTCTCAAAAAAAAATCTAAAACTAGACAAAATTATCAAAACTCACTGATTCAGAACTTTTCAGAGTTCGGGAAACTGACCCAAGCTGAGAACTCACTGAGAAGAGATCCTTCTTGAAAAACGCTGGGCCTTGGGTCAGAACACTGGGAAGTCTGCAGCCTTTGCACCTGGGGCTGCCACTGGCTCCTACTCCTGAGTCAGCAAACCTGAGTGTTTTACCAGGTCAGGGCTGGCTGCAAAACCCAACACCAGCAGAGGTGGACGTGGGACAGAAGGCAAAACCCAGACCTCGCAGTTAAAAGTGGTGACTCGATAAACACAAAGAAAACCGACAGCCCTGATCATCTGAGGTTGTGATCCCAGCTGGAGTGAGCACTGGGCCAGCCAGATACTTAACAGGAAGACTCTGAAAATCAGAGAGCCACAGAAGGGCTCAGCTCTCCCAAGAAGGGCCTGGCTCTTGAGGAAACCACTGCAGGTGTTGGGAGCTCCGAGAGAGGCCAGGGGAAAGTGAAAGCAAAGAGAGAGGAGCTGGCTGAACTCCTAGCGTGCTCTGAAACCCCACAGGGTGGCGGGGAGCCTTTGGATTAGGAGTGTCTGACATACCCTCTTGCCCAAATCAATGGCTGACCACTACCATATGCGAACACAGAAGCAATTGCTAGGAAGCCAGAGTAAAAAATAGAATTTAAGGCCGCGTGTGGTGGCTCACGCCTGTAATCCCAGCACTTTGGGAGGCCGAGGCAGGCGGATCATGAGGTCAGGAGATTGAGACCATCCTGGCTAACATGGTTAAACCCCATCTCTACTAAAAATACAAAAAATTAGCCA